CTCTGAAATCGTCTTATACAAATATGATAAGGAATTTCAGAAAATTTTGAACAACAACATAGGAAGAAGCAAAATAGATTCCATGATCTATGGTGTTAGTCATAATGGAAAAAGAGGAATTGATTTTGTTTCTGATAATAACAATCAGAAATCTTCTGAAGAAAACAAACTTATATCTCCTTTTTCTTATCTTTATCCTTATGCACACACACAAAAATTCAATGTTATGCATAAACCCAAGTTTACTAGAAACTCTGGGAAAACTAATTATAAATGACCCAAAAGACTATGGGCACCAAAAGATAAAATAGTATATGTTACAGATATCTTATGCAGAGTTGAAATGCTAGTCATGGTACTTGGACTCTGGTTGCTCACGGCACATGAAGGGAAGAAGCATATGTTCAAAAACCTAAAACTTAAAGATGTTGCTTTCATCGATTTTGGAGGAGATCAGAAAGAAATAATAAAAGGATCTGGAGCAGTTGGTAACAGATCTCTTCCTTCTATATCCAATGTACTTTATGTTGAGGGTCTAATGAATAACTTGTTATCCATAAGCCAATTAAGCGATAACGTTTATGACATTGTTTTTAATCAAAAAACATGTAAGGTTGTAAGTAAGAAAGATGACACAATTCTCTTCACTAGAAAAAGGAAGAACAACATTTATAAAATAAAGCTTTCTGATCTGAAAAGCCAAGATGTAAAATGCTTAATTTCTCTTAACGAAGAGGAATGAGTGTGGCATAGACGCTTGGGTCATATTAGCATGAGAAGATTATCTTGGCTAAACAAACTTGAGTTAGTAAGAGGCATACCTAAGCTGAAGTTTACTTCAGATGCACTTTGTGAAGCATGTCAGAAATGCAAGTTTTCTAAAACTTCTTTTAAAGCCAAAAATGTTGTTTCTACATCCAGACCTTTAGAGCTTCTACATATTGACTTGTTTGGACGTGTTAAAACAACACCAGTCAATGGTAAGAAGTATGGACTTGTTATCGTTGATGATTATAGTCGTTGGACATGGGTAATTTTCCTAAGGAATAAAGATGAGTCACATTCTGCATTCACTAGTTTTTGTTCTAAAGTGAAAAATGAATTTGATTATAAGATTGTTAGAGTCAGAAGTGATCATAGTGGAGAATTTTAAAATAAATAGTTTGGGGAATTATTTGATTCAAATGGTATATCCCATGATTTCTTCTGTCCTAAAACTCCATAAAAAATAGTTGTAGAAAGGAAGAATATGACTTTGCAAGAAATGACCAGAACCATGATCAACGAAACTAATGTGGCTAAGCACTTTTGGGCAAAAGTTGTGAATACAACATGTTACATTCATAGTATAATCTCCATAAGACTTACTCTGGGTAAGACTCCTTATGATTTGCGCAAGGGAAGAAACCCTAACATTTCTTATTTCCATCCCTTCGATGTTCTTGTTTTATTTTAAACACTAAAGAGAATCTTAACAAGTTTGATTCTAAGGCACATAAGTGTATTATATTGGGATACTCGTAATTCTCTAAGGGCTATAAGGTATATAATACAGAAACATGCATCGTGGAGAAATCGGTTCATGTTAGGTTCAATGATAAGCTTGAATCCGAAAAGTCAAAGCTGTTTGAGAATTTTGCAGATCTAGAAATAAATCTTGCAGGCTCTGGAGAAAAGGAAAAGATTCTGAAGAGAAAGTTTCTGATAGAAAGGATGATACATGATAAGTGCCAAATGTAGTTATTTTGTGTATATGTTTTGTGGCACTTATCAGGTCTTTTGTTAATATTCGTTGAATAATTCCCCGTTTTGTTTGTAAATACGTTTAGTTTGTGCATATTTGTGTTTTTGATTCATTTGTGTACCGTTTGATAGATTTTACTTCTTTTGTAGGTATTTGTTGCATATTTGGAGCATTAAGGAATAAGATGTTGAAGAGACGACTCCAGATGCACGTTTTTGGAATAAAAGTCCATTTTGAGAAGTTATGTCCAAACAGGTGCGCTAAGTGCAAATTGTAGCGCGCTATGAGTGTTTTGACAGATTTGGCAAAAGCGAAGTTTTTGAGCCTACTAAGCACGGATATCCCTCTTAGTGCAATTTTAGGTGGTTTGATGTGTGAAATAAGGAAGTCGAATTTAGCGCGCTAGGCCCGCTTAGCACAGTCTGCTGAGATTTATTTTATAACTTTCATTTCATTCATTGTTAGGTGAGAGTTTTGGGGGTGTTTTTGTTCTCCCAACTCCAACACCTTATTGTTTTAGTAGATTATCTTAGAAAACAATATTGGAGCTTGCATACGGATGATCTGGGTGGATTGTTCATCGATCAGCGCTGACAAACTGGGAGATTTGTGGTTCATTTCTCTTTTTCTTTGTGTATTCTCCATTTGTTGGATTTTGTATATGTATTTATTTTGAAATCATGTATATTTGTCGCCCATGGCGTTGTATAAAGCTTGCTTTACAAATATTTGTCGATTATTATCCTGGATTTTTGTTATGGGCTTGGGGTTTGGGTTGTTATAGACATATACTGCTCGAATTATTATCTAGGGTGATTATCTAATAGTGTATAGATTCTAGAGATAGATTTAGAGCTATTACTCACTTGGGTGTCTGTGATTAACGCCTGTGTTGGTTCTGTCGTACTGAGAGATCGTCGACGTGAGTAACACAGTTGACTTTTGTGTTGTTGAGGTTGGTTAAGATATCACTTCCGAGATGATACAGTGTGTGTTGTGGTTGATACATGATGACATTGATTAGTCTTGTAGGTTTGATATAACTGGTCGATAGGTTTAAGTTTATGACGAGTGGATTATATGCATGCTTAATAAGTCTCTTCTCTGATGAATGAATTCTTTTCTTGTTAATAACCTTAAATTCCCGCATTTACTTCAAACCTATTTTAACCCATACTCATTAACGAGAGATTTGTCGAACTGTAATTCAGTAGCACTAATCCATGCGGAGATGATACGATATAACCTATATCACCCTAAATACTTACTATTGATTGTCGCTTTACCGCTTCAGCAGTACATCAGAAGTTCTTGAAGGTCCATCAGTCCAGAAAAGACAAAGGCAAAGAAAAGTCTTGTCTAAAGATGTGATTATTGGAGATAAAACTAAACATGTTAGAATAAGATCCACATTCAAGCAATCTGAGGAAACTCTTATGAGATTGGTGTCTCTGATAGAACTATCTTCTTGTCGAGAGGCTCTTAAAGATAATGAATGGATTTTTGTAATGACAGAAGACCTAAATCAGTTCTCCATATATGATGTATGAGATTTGGTACCTAAGCCCAAAGGAATCCACATGATTGAAACAAAATGAATATTCAGAAACAAGTTAAATGGGAAAGGAGAAGTCGTCAGAAATAAGGCACGGCTGGTTGCATAAGGTTATAGTCAACAAGAAGGTATTGACTATAATGAAACATTTGCCCCAATCGTCATGTTAGAATCTATTCGCCTTCTAATCTCTTTTGCTGTAAATAATCATATAATCTTATATCAAATGGATGTCAAAAGTGTGTTTCTAAATGGTTACATTTCTGAAGAGGTATATGTACACCAACCTCTAGGTTTTGAATGTACTAAGTTTTTGCAACATGTTTTCAAACTTAAGAAGTCACTGTACGACTTGAAGCAAGTCCCAAGAGCTTGGTATGACAAACTAAGTGTTTTTCTCTTAGAAAATGGTTTTCAAGAAGCAAGGTGGACGCTACCCTTTTCTGTAAAAACTTTGGAAACGATCTTATGATTTGCAGATATACGTGGATGACATAATTTTTGGTTATGCTAATTCCTCTATTTTGCAAGAATTTTCTAAGTTAATGCAGGCAAAATTTGAAATGAGTCTGATGTAAGAACTATGATAGTTCTTGGAGATTCAAATCAATCAAACTCCAGAAGCTACATATATTCATCAAAGAAAATATACAAAAGAACTTTTAAAGAAATTTGATATGTCAAATAGCAAACCAGCAAAGACACCTATGCATCCTACATCCATTCTTGAGAAAGATGGTGTAAGTACAAAGGTTTGTCAGAAGCTCTATTGTAGTATGATAGGCTCTCTTTTCTATTTGACTGCTTCTCGTCCAAATATTTTATTTAATGTATGTCTTTATGCTCGTTTTCAATCAGATCCAAGAAAAATTCACTTAATAACTCATAAGAGAAACTTATAGTTATTCTCAAAACTAAATATCACACATAAGAGCACATAAGAGCTGATAGACATGATATAAGTTGTGACCATCACTTGTTCAAAAGGGCTAAATTAACCAAAATAGAAATCCTGAACACCATGCCTACCTTTCTTCTTATGTTTACAAACATTAGTCCACTTTACCCGAGAGATCTTAGATACACCTATAGTTTTGATCCCTTATTTTACCTCCTTCACAAAACTAAAATTACTATTTTAAATTCAAATATTGTTAGTCTGCTTATAACTTTTTTGCATTGAAAACTTATAACATGCCAATTTATATTGACATGCTTCTTATATTTTCCATTTTTTAACTCCCACAATAATTTCTAGAAGATAATTTACTACGTTTCACAATTGATAAATCATTTAATAATAAACTTGTCATTTAGTTGAAATAAAAAAAAAATATGAGGAGAATAAAAAGTGTATTTAAATTCAAATTTTATTAAACACTACAAATTCAACCGGTTAACTTATTTGTTATCACTTATCAATTATCAATTAATTTATTAACTATTCCAACCTAAATAGTTTTGAATAAGTCACCTCTATGGACTAGAGTCACTCACCCAAACCTAGTGGACTTAAACTAAGATCAATAAAACTCAAAGAATAGAGGGACCATATTCATTTTACATCCATTAACTCATCTCTCTTTCAACACCCTTTGTGTTATATAGTTTTCCTGTTTCTCATGCATATATATAAAAGTCTACGTAGATAATAACAACAACACACAAGAGTTAGAGAAGCTAGATTGATTGAACTCAAACATGAACAAGTATAATAAAACATATCTGAAACTATTTAGAAGAGGTTCTAAATCTAATTATAAGAAGAGGTTCTCCAAGAAAGCTAAAGTTGCAGCAGTTACCACCACTGTGGTTGCTCTTGTATGCTTAGTAGCCACTCTTTGTTACTATGCATCTTCCAATAATGTGAGTTTTCATGCATTATCATAGCATGCAATTTTGAAGAAAAAAAATATCATTCTTATTGCATTATTTATAAAATTTTAATTTCACAAGAAACTAATATTAAAATTATTTTTGAAGTACATATTTTCAGGTTATTTCGTAGCAAATCAAAACCCTCCATCCATCAACACAAACATACACAAACAACAAGAATATCCACTTAGATGCACCAAAGGGAACACGACTGAGACACAAACATGTCCAAGAGACTACTACCCTACAAAACATAACCCAACAAATCAAAATAGCAATGTTTGTCCCTCGTACTTTAGATGGATCCATGAAGATCTAAAGCCATGGAAAGATAAAGGGATCACAAGAGAAATGCTCGAAGGAGGGAGAAGAACAGCGAACTTTAAGGCTGTGATTGTGGATGGAAAATTGTATGTGGAGAAGTATATGAAATCATTTCACACAAGAGATGTGTTCACTTTGTGGAGTATTGTGCAACTGTTAAGGTTGTATCCTGGCAAGTTACCTGATTTAGAACTAATGTTCGATTGCGAAGATAGGCCTGTTATTCGGTCGGATAAGTTTCAAGGCCCGAATGCTTCACCACCACCTTTGTTTGGATATTGTTCGGATCAATCGAGTTTGGATATCGTTTTTCCTGATTGGTCTTTTTGGGGATGGTAAATACTTGTATTTGAACATATTTGCACTATATATTTTTGCATTTGCCTAATAAATATTTCTCCTATTAATAGGGCTGAGATAAATATAAAGCCATGGAATGGAATCATGAAAGATATAAAAGAAGGGAACAAAAGGACCAAATGGAAGGATAGAGTGCCATATGCTTATTGGAAAGGGAACCCTACAGTTGCTGCAACAAGGAACGATCTTCTGACATGCAATGTTACATCAGAAAATGATTGGAAGAATCACCTATACATACAAGTATTTTCAATCAATTTTGCAATATGTTTTTCTTCCAATTCACATCAAAGGGATATTAACTCATTGTATTTATGTTTGTGTCAAGGACTGGGCAAAAGAAACCAATGAAGGTTACAAAGAATCCAACTTAGCAAATCAATGTACTCATAGGTAATGTAAATGTATCTTTTGCTAGAGACTCAATGTTAATTCACATTTTTTTTTGTGGTCAATATTGGAGAGAGTGATGTTATGTGCATTGATGGTTTTGTATAGGTACAAGATATACATAGAAGGAATTGCTTGGTCTGTCAGTGAGAAATACATTTTGGCATGTGATTCCATGACATTATATGTAAGACCCAATTACTATGATTTTTTCATGAGAGGCATGGTTCCATTACAACACTATTGGCCCATTAGAGACAATACTAAATGTACATCTCTTAAGTTTGCTGTAGAATGGGGCAACAATCATGTTGATAAGGTATATCTTGCTTTCTTTGAAGGATAAAGGATATCAGATTAATATTAAAATGAAAATATTAAATTATTTCTTTTATCTCATTTATTCAAGTGATATACTTTATATAATCAGAAAGTTATTTCATTATTCACTTACTAGATATTACAATACATATTTTCCATAAGAAATTTATGTTGCATTACATCAAATATCTTATATTTTGTAAAACTTACCTATCAGGCACAAGCAATAGGAAAAGTTGCTAGCAAATTCATGCAAGAGGATTTAGCCATGAACAATATATATGATTACATGTTCCATCTTCTTAATGGATATGCAAAGCTTTTAAGGTTCAAACCAACTATACCTTTAGGAGCTGAGGAACTTTGTGCTGAAACAATGGCATGTGATTATGATGGTACACATAGGAAGTTCATGGAAGATTCAATGGTGATGTCTCCTAGTGATTCAAGTCCATGCACCATTCCTCCTCCATATGATTCTTTGACTATACAAGAAATTTTAGAGAGAAAAGCTAATTCAACAAGACAAGTAGAAATTTGGGAAGATGAATATTGGCAGAATAAAAATAATGGACATAGTATTGCCTAAGTTGTTATTATTTTATTTTTTTTGGAATAAATGTTTTTATTTTTATTTTTGTATTACTTCATATTCTCTACATTTATAAAATTGTATGTTTTTATAGTTATATGTTGTATGCTTGTCTGTTGGAATATGAAAAGATACATGCATGCCCTAATGATTGCATATTATACAGAAAAGAGTATGTAAACTATAATCATTGTCCGAAGTGCAAGGCGTCACGCTACAAAAAGAAAGATGGTGAATCAATTGATGATGAGGTGGTCAAAAAGGGTCCTCCTGCGAAAGTGGTATGGTACCTACCAATAATTTCAAGGTTCAAGAGATTATTCGCCAATGCAGATGACGCAAAGAATCTTAGATGGCATTCAGAAGAAAGAAAATATGATGGACAAATTCGTCATGTTGCTGATTCTTTGCAATGGAAGAAAATAGATTCTTTGTTTCCAAATTTTTGCAAAGAGTCGAAAAACCTTAGACTTGGACTTGCTACTGATGGAATGGATCCGTTTGGTAATCTGAGTACTAATCATAGTTCTTGGCATGTTCTCCTGATGATTTACAACCTATCTCTTAGGCTGTGCATGAAGCGTAAATATATTATGTTATCAATCATGATATCAGGCCCAAAACAACAAGGAAATGACATAGACATTTATCTAAGTCTACTGATTGATGATTTAAGAGTGTTGTGGGAGGAATGGGTGGATGTTTTTTATGCGTATTCTGACGAACAGTTCAATATGCGTGCCATGTTGTTTTACACCATCAACGATTTTCCGGCATATGGTAATTTGTCTGGGTATAAAGTTAAAGGGCATAAGGCGTGTTCTATATGTGAAAAAGACACATGTTACCATCAGCTGGAAAAAGAAAAGAAAACCGTTTATCTCGGGCATCGAAAATTTCTAAAACGTTATCATCTATATCACAGATTGCGGAAAGCTTTCAATGGGGAACAAGAGCATGGTGTTGCTCCAAAGCCCTTGTCTAGAGAGGAAGTTTATCAGCGACAACGGGGACTTGATATTGTCTTTGGAAAGTACCAAAAACGATCTACTGTGAAAAATGTATGGAAAAAGAGATCGATTTTCTTCGATCTTCCATATTAGTCTAGTCTTGATGTAAGACATTGTATTGATGTGATGCACGTGGAGAAAAATCTATGCGATAGTGTAATCGGAACACTTCTCAATATTCAAGGCAAGACAAAATATGGTATTAATGCTCGTCTAAATTTGGGTTTGATGGGTATACGAGAAGTGTTAACTCCACAATATATAGGTAACAAGACATATTTGCCTCCTGCCTGCTACACTATGTCTAAAAAAGAGAAAACAAGTTTTTGTGAGTGTTTACAAAGTATCAAAGTGCAGCATGGTTACTCATCAAATATCAAGAGGCTTGTATCAATTAAAGATCTTAAATTAGTTGGCTTAAAATCTCACGACTATCATGTCTTAATGCAACAACTAATACCATTGGCTATTCGTGGGATATTGCCTAACAACGTTAGAAAGACTATAACTAAGTTGTGCTTATTTTTTAATGCAATTTGTTGTAAAGCCATTGATCCACTAAAGTTAGAAGATTTGGAAAATGAGGCTGCAGTTATCTTGTGCCAATTAGAGATGTATTTTTCTCCTTCATTTTTTGACATTATGGTTCACTTAATTGTTCATCTAGTAAGAGAGATTGGATTATGTGGTCCAATTTTTTTATGGTGGATGTATCCAATAGAGAGATACATGAATATCCTAAAAGGGTATACAGAAAACCCACACCGTCCGGAAGCATCGATTATTGAGAGGAACATTGCAGAAGAAGCAATTGAGTTTTGTTATAACTATTTGTCAGGAGTGGATGATGTAGGGGTTCCCAAGTCTCGTCATGATGGAAGATATGAGGGCGTGGGTACACAAGGTTTAAAGGTCAAGAGCTTAAGTATTGATGTGGTTGTTCAAGCGCATTTATATATATTGAATAACATAGATGAAGTTCAACTTTAATTATCTGCTCACAAAAGCATCATAAAGAAAAAGTACCCTAAGATGAATGAAAGAGGATTGTTAAAAGAGCATAATAAGAGTTTCTCTGAGTGGTTTAAAGAAAGAATTTCTAATGAAGATAGTGATTCTAATACGATTAAGTGATTGTCTTATGGGCCTAAATGTAACATAATAACTTGGAGTGGATATGATATTAATAAAACTTCTTTTTATACAAAGTCAAAGGATGACCGTAGTACCACGCAAAATACTAGGGTAATGATTGTGGCCGAGTCCATGCACTTCTCTAGTGCTAAAGATAAAAACCCGATTATAGCATCTACACCTTACTTTGGGGTGATTGAAGAGATTTGGGAAGTTAATTATGTTGTGTTTAAAGTTCCTGTGTTTAAATGAAAATGGATTGATACCAACAGTGGTGTAAGAATCGATGAATTTGGAGTTACACTAGTTGATCTTAGCAAGTTAGCTTATACGAACGAACCTTTCATCATGTCATCTCAAGCAAAACAAGTGTTTTATGTCATAAATCCTTCTAATAAAAAATGGTTAGTGGTTTTACAAGGAAAGATCCATGATAGTGATGAAAATCCTGATGAGAATCTTGATATTTCCGAAACTCATCCTTTTTCAATAAATGTGACTACATTCATTGAAGAAAATGAAGGGGATGATGTGCATGCTATTCGCATAGACCATGAAGAAGGGATATGGGAGGAATAGTAAGATTTTTTTTTTATAAGTTAATTCCACGTTACTTTATTTTCTAATTGTTTTTATTTTGTGCTTAATTTTATTTCTAAATGTTTTTATTTTGTGCTTAATTTTATTTCTAATTATTTTTATTTTGTGTAAACAGATATATGGGTGATTCAAACGACAACCCTTCTTCATATAGTAACCCTAATAAAAGAAGAGTTAGAGGTCCCACTTTCATGACACAAATTGATAAAGTTCATCAAACAGGTGAAAAGATAAAGGTCGAGTTTAATCCAAGAATCTATGAATGTATTGGTGTTGGTAAAAATGCTACACATTTTAAGAGTTATATAGCATGTCTTGCTTGGCAGTACTGTAGTATTGTGAAAAATGATTGGAAAGAAGTAGATGAATGCGTAAAATATGCTATTTGGACTAATATCAGGTATTTTAAATACAAAACTTTATTATATTTTATAATCATATACTAATTAACAACATATGACATATACTATATTTGTAGGCTCATTTCACTATTGCAGAATGTAATGATCCAAAGAAGGATAGGTTGAAGAAAGAATGGATTAAATATGCGGGAGAGAGATGGAGAGATTTTAATACACAACTCACAGACAAATATATTAATCATCCCATAGAAAATGATCCTCCTCCATATGTCAAGTATAACTTTATTACAGAAGACGCATGGAAAGAGTTTCTCAAGATTCGAGATACCCCTGAATTTAAGGTTAGTAGGAGTTATATGTTTTTGTGTGCATAACATTTTTATTATATTTAGTGATTAATAACTTTTTGAGTTTATAATAGGAAAAAATTCAAAAGGGTAAGGATAATGTGGCTAAGAATGTATACCCACACTTATTATCTCGTGGAGGACATCGCATGCTTGAGGAGAAAATTATGAAAGAAAAGTCATCATTGAGAGATAATTCCACATTAGATGATAATCGTAGTCCATCTCCACCATCACGCCATGAGTTATGGAAGAGAGTACGAAAAAAGAAAGGAGGAGAATACACATAAAAAATATACACAAGAGGTTGCTGAAAAAATTATAAGTAAACAATGAAAAATAATTCAAGTATCATTATATTTGTGATTGATTAATTGTGGTTTTTGTATTTTGTAGGATTCTCTAGTTCAAGAAGCTGAAAAAGGTGAAATTGTTCCGGTTGGACGTAACGATATCTTAACATTAGCCATTGGAACATATAGTTGTGTTGGAAAAAGCCATAAACAAAGCACTTACTTTGGAAGGTCACGTCAACATATTGACGTAAATGAACAACTTGCAACATTGGAAATAAAACTTAGAATTGAACTTGAAGAAAAGTTGGTTGAAGAGCGTAAGATGTTTCAACAATCTTTAATGGAGACACTTAAGTCTATGGGTTTATCACAAAGCACATATAATATTAAAAGCATTGAAAAAATGAAAATTGTCGATGGAAGCTGTTGTACCCCAAAATTTGCCCTCTCATTTTATCAACATTTCTCATCACAAGGCTCTTGAAACTCAAGATCAAGCTAGGGTTTGCTCTGCTCAAGACATCTCCTTGCACTGATGACCTAAACTAGGGTTTGAGTTGCACAGGGATTTTTGGACCTTCAATACTCAAATTGACTTTAATACTTCATGTTGGACTCATAAGTTTGTCCATACCAAGTTTCAAGTCTTGAATCAAATTTTTGCCCAGTCAATTGGACAGTTGACCTAAAAATCAGCTGTATTGGGGAAAAAGTCAAATGTGGCCAATTTACAGTCAAACCTCATGAATTTTGACCCACATCAACATTATGAACTCATATGAATCATTGGATCAAGTTTGGACCACAATTCCACAAGAAATTTGATCAGATCACCAAAAGGGCAAAATGGTCATTTTCAGGGTTTTGACTGTACAAAGGCAATTTCTGACTTTTTGACCTAACCAATGGCAAATTAGGTTCAACCATGAACTCAAGGACTCAATGGAATCATCTTGACTTATTCAACAAGTACAAAAGATCTCAAATGCATGGGATTGACAGATGAATTTTTCAGTTAACTGATCAAAATTTGACTGTACACTGAAAAGTCAAACTTTGACTTTTTGGTCAAAATCAAGTGCCAAGGGTCATTTTTCATCAAGATATGTCAAATTATGAAACTTGTTCATCAAGAAACCCAAAATTGCAAATTAGGGTTTGAAATTTAAAATTTTCATAACTTAGAATTTTTCAAAGTTATGAAATTTTCTTATTTTTTCCTAACTTTGTCCCACATTTTCATCATGA